ATTGTTTTAATAGTGACGCGGAACGATAGAGTATGGGAGGTCAGCAATGGCGACAGCAATGTTTGTGAAAAAAGGATAAAGAGTGGAAAAAGGATAGAAGGGATGGAATCTCTGCGATAACGCATGGTTGGTTTACGAATGGTAGAAATGTGTAGAAGCACGAAGAGTCTTCAATCAATACATTTTGAAAAATGAAAAGAATGAGAAATCCATGGTCTCATAGATTATTATTCAATGAAAGAAGAATTGCACATATCATACAAAGGGTGATTCATTCAACGTAAATAAATGGAAGTAATATGGAAAAAATTTTTAAATAATAATAATAAAATTATTAATACACACACACACACACACACACGCGCGCGTAAAATGAAATTTTCATTTTACACAATCTCTCATTTAAAAAGAGAAAAAAATATTAATATATAATATTATATAAAAAAATTCTCAACTACTTTAACAAACGTACGTCAAGCGGAAAAACGGTTTAAATCTTTATCTTCTGAAAAAAACAAAAAAATGAACGATTCATCCTTCAGCTCTAAATGCATTTTATTCTGTTAAACCACAATGGTGGTTTATTACAGGAAAAATATTAATTACAAAAATTGTTATAATAATTCATGAATGCGATTTCAAACGAACATTTCCCTATTATTTACTCATATAAATTCATTAATAATTTTCATTAATCGTATAAATAACGAAGTATTTGTTGGAATATTAATAAAATGATTCACCGTGTATATCGAATATATATTTTATATAAAGCAACGGGCGACAGTCCAAAAAGTGATTCATCTTTCTGAACTGCCATACAAGGAATGATGAACAAAGGGACGATCAAAAGCTTGGAAATACACTGAACGAGCTCGTCCATAACGTTTTTGAACATAGTCTATGATGCGTTACCTGCCGCTAATTTCTCTCTTTTTTCCTCGTAATATTTCACTACGAGTACTTTGAACAAAAAGAAAATTAAAAGGAGAAAGATAGCGGGACAGTAAAGAACAAGTTTTCGCATGCGTGAAACGAAGATAGAGATAGATGAAACAAGGAAGGAAGGAAGGAAGGAAGGAAGGAAGGAAGGAAGAGATGGTGAACAAATAAAAATTAAAAAAAAAAAAAATCGATACTCTCGAATATATATTGCATTTCTGACCAGCCGATTTTCCGACGAACTGGCAGAAAAATCGATGAAGTGGTAATCGTTTCCATTGTTTTCGATTAAACGAGTCACTACGAAGAATTAAACCATTTTTTCCCATACGATTGTATCCGATTGATCTCGAATTCTTCGTTAAAAAATTTAACGAAGCTGATAACGAGAAAAAAAGCGTCAACTGCTACTTATTACAATGGGATCAATCCCTTTTTCCGCGTATTACATCATGAAAATCGATGAGGAAAAATTAGAGAAACGGTTTGTCTCGCGTCAGATTTTTTTTTTTTTTTTTTTTTTTTTTTTTTTTTTTTTTTTTTTTTAAAGAAATCGCTAAAATCCGTCTTTCCTCTTTTCCATCGAAAACCGTTCGAACTTATCCTTCTTCCTTTCTAACGCATTTAGTCACTTCAAACGATGATAAATCATTCAGCCGAGGTTTTATCTCCGTGCTTGATACTCTCAATGACTACTACGAATTTCGTCGTTAAGTAGAATGAAAGAAAGAACAAAAAAATAGTTTCATGATCATTACCATAAGCAACGTGATTGCAAGATGTAATAAAATTATTGCAAACAAATAATAATAGAAAAGGGAAATAGTTTGTACGATAAATTTATTCGAGGTGAAATTCAACAAATTTTATTAAATTTAGCACGTTAAAAAGAGCAGATGTATTTATTAATAATCGCTATCATGCAAATGTGTTTTCTCGTACTATAAAATGTACACCTGAATAAATATATATGTGAAATTGATATTTGAAAAACAGGAAATACTGTATAAACCCATTCGGACTCGCAAAGCAGTTCCCCACCGTCCTCTTCTCATCGAAAATCATCGTCTACCATGATCTGTGAATATTAACTAAACATTTCTGAAAAGCACGTATAGCATCCTACGCCTGCGTTTGATGTGCCCCTTCTGTTGTGAAGCTTTTATATAGAGTTACGTTCATAACCACCTACTTGCGGCTTCGGTCTAATGAATTGCGATTAGATTCAACAGTATTCCCGCATGAGAGAAATAACGTGAAATAAGAGGCTATTACCTAACCGAAATGATATATATGTGTGTGTGTGTGTGTGTGTGCCGTGCTACTCTTGACTGTAAGTAAAAAGAAATAATGCAGAGAGAAAGTAAGAAATACTTGAATTTGTAATAAGAAGAAATATCACATAAAAATGCGAGAACACATTCCAAAGATTATGTTAAAAATTGTCTCTGATGATTTATTAGATACATACGAATCTTTCCGATGAGATGCAAAAAGTTACGCTTAAAATACTATAGGGATGATAGTTTGTCTCTTTTGTTATCATATATCAATAACGAATCGATTTGTTTTATCGACAAAAAAAAAAAAAAAAAGAAAAAGGAGCTAGATTCTACGAAGCATATTTTTTATACACAGATTTATAGCATCCATTCAACGTGTAAATAACCAACGAATTATTTTACTTTCCATATTAAAACTCAACGAAACGTGAATCATTCATATGATTGTTTGTCGGCCAACAAACATGTCTAACGATAATTTAATTTTCACGGTTTAATGCCAAACTCGTTTTTGAATTTAAATTAACGATCAACCGAATGAATGTAACTACAACCGAAAATCGATACACGGAAAATCCTTGAAGAAGAAAAAAATCGTTACAAATTTTCTATTAGCAAAGTTTTAAATTAATTTGATAATAATATAATATATTAACGTTTATCTATAATGTTCTATTATTTACGGTCATAATAACGTTCGATTGGGGTCAAAAAGAAAAGAAAAGAAAAAAATAGAAACGCAGAGTACAAAATAACGAACGTATCGGGCTGGATCACGTGCATGCTGTACACGCAGTATTAATGCACCATGATGTGATAAGCACCGGAAACTGAGAGCAAAGGAAGAAAAGCGGACCCGGAAACTGGTACGCGTGCAAGTGGACCAACATGAATAATGCATAACGGCACGAGAGACAGCTCGGCTGCGTACAAAATCGGAAAAGCTATATGGTCGACAAAAGCGAATGGACTCTTCCTTCTCTGTCTTTTTCCTCTCCTCTTGTTTCCATTTCTTTTTATATATATATATATATAGATGTAATTTTACATATACATGTATACAGGATGTCTCATATAAAGTTTTACGCTTAATTATTCGTTTATCGTAATTGAAAATTTATCAATCTCGAAATAAAATGAAATTTTCTTTGTAGGATTTAAAAAAAAAAACAAAGAAAAAAAATAGTAAATAGCTGTAGAAATAATTGAATGTAAGATTCCGTATGGGACACCCTGTATATCTATATGTGTATTTATCTCGTTCCCTTTCTCTGCCATTTCCTCTACCCAAAAAAGTTCGTTTCTTTTTTCTCGGCGCTGATGTCTGTCCGGACCTCTAATTGCATCTCGAGAATTCAAGGGAGTAAAAATGGTATAATGATACTTGACGTTTTGGTCCTCGTTTTCGAGAGCATTCACTTCATCATCATCTCCCTTTGGCACGCACTAGCTATAGCAAGGCTCCTTGGCAAAGCTTTGCGGAAAGTCAAGTTCGAAGATCTTATTTACATATATATACATGTACATGTATATATATATATGGCTATCTTGCGATGGTATTTGCCATAATTAATCCGGACCTCACGAGTTTCGTTCATTCACGTACGAACGAAACTTCCAAGTCTAATTATCTTCTTTGCCTCTAAAATAACACGTGTCTTTTGTTATACGACATCATGGAACCACCATTTCCCAGAGAGTTTTGCTCACATGATCCGAGTTGTATCGACTTTTAACTAGTTTGATTGTTAAAACGTTAAACTATTTACCATAAAATACACATCTTTAAATCGTTATAGTTTTTTCCTTCTGGATGTTTTTAACTTTAAAGAATTTAAATGTTAAATTTTATGCAAAACTTTTCTCATAAACAAAAACAAATACCTATCAAGAAGTAGGACAATTTAAATATCATGAAATTTTCAATCGCAATCATTTCGTTAAAAGAAAATATGTATCAGTAAAAAAGAATTCTCTAATGTTCTATAAAATTATAATAACAATAATTTATAATTTGAAACTTTCGCTTTATAAATAAGATCTGAAATAACATAGGAATAATATATTATACTAATCAACTCTTTTATTCCTTTTCGTTAAATAATATATGTTCTTTTCCTTGATTTAATAAATGTTACGTGTACACGACGATCGGGTTATACCGGTTTAATTTCGCATTTATTAAGGATTCCCACAAATGGCATAATCATATGTATTCGTCACTTGTGACGATAATTAATTTCAAGATATCAGAAATGATCTATCAATAATCGTTGTTTATTTCATTACTTATATTATATTATATGAATTTTCAATTATAGAAAAAAGAAAAGAAAAGAGAAAATCGAATGGTTCTTCACCGACTTTATGCTTTTCCGCTAGAAATTGTAACCTCTCTTCCCATCTACTACTACTCATGCGAAATAACGTATAAGAAGTCATCCAAAAAATTCACCGTAGTTGAAAAGATAAGAACTTATTCCTGACGTAAATATACATATACATATATACTTTTTTGATGGTAACTCCCAACGCCTATGTGCATCCCAGTTTATTACAAACTACTACTATTACTATTACACGTACGAATCCAAACGTGACGCAATTGCAATACTTCTTACGAGGAAATAGTCTTGGGGTCATAGTATATTGCAGATAAGACGGTAGCCTGTTATTCCCCGATTTCGTTGCTCCCTTCTTCTTCAATATTTGATCTTCTCAATCTTTTATCTCTCTCTCACGCTCAATTATATAGGCACGGGATTGTACATGCATTCATTTATTAATGAATTCGCTTGGATTTATATACAATATATATAAACGTATTCATCCTATCTGTTTTATAGTACAATTGCGAGTCCGTGGAAGATAGAAGTAAGCATGTTCTTTTCATTTATATTTCTCTTTTTCTTCGAGACACAGGGACATTTTGTATGAAAAAATTAGACGTTAATTATATCTCTCGAGAGATATTATTGTTAAAATTTTATCTATAACTTTTCGTAATAAAAATTGTACAATATATCGTTGAAAAAAAAAAATAAAGAAACAATGTTATTATATTTCTATGATGATTATAATAATAATCATGATCATTATATTATTGTAAAAAAAAAAAAAAACTAATGATGCAATTTATATATTAACAATAAAAACTACAATAAATAATTAAAACTAGTATTATGTAAATGTTATACTATATATCAAAAGTTGAAACTAATTTTATTTTTAACTCTGCCAACTTATGATCTTCATCTTCCTTTTATAGATCACTAGCCAAGATGAAACTAACAAACTTTCTCGTGATCTTGATGGTTGTAATACTGGCAGTTTGTGCACATGCTGCTCCAAAGAGTCGTGGGCTCCCTCAGTTCCCTGGCTATGGAACATTCAATCCCAAAGGCAAACTGCCTGTGCCATTTCCAAAAGTAAGTCGATCGATAAATTCAACTTTAATCGCAGAAACTAACGAAAAAATACTGATCTTTCGGCAAAAGTGTTATTCGCGTTATTTAATATTTTTGAAAAATTATTTCTGAATTTAACTTTTATTTTTTATCTTTTGTTACAGCACTTCGTTACAGACTGATTTAAAACAAATATCATAACGCAACAAGACACCGCGTTAAATAACACTGACTTTTATTCTCCATTTGTATGTAACATCACGGTAAATAGAATAGAAAGCATAAAATATTATAAATATTTCAAATGGTTGTCGTATTTATTTTAAATCGCATAATATAGTACCCCTGAAATATTTTTCACTGTCACGTCCACGACGTTTCAATTTTCTAGTATTATAGTGATATGTTTTTAAATTCATGCAATACAATCAAAATTCTGGAGGTTACTTAAATCGCTTAAGGCGATGAAAACTCGAAGAAAATTGTGTGTGTGTGTGTGTCTGTCTGCAGAATTTAATTCAAATGACATTTATCTTTCGCAATCTATTTCAATCACAGTATCTTCAGTCAAACGTAAAACTACGATGGAATATAAAAAGAAAAAAGAAAAAGCATCGTAGGGGTGACTCCTATAAGATGTAAGCCATGTTAATGGAAAACGACTTTTTCTCTTAAAGTCTCTTACCGATAATGCAACTTTTACCGCATTTATTTTGTTCAAAGATAACGAATAATGGCTGGTAAATAAAATCAATATAAAACAAAAAAAAGATAATAACAGAGAAAGTAATTTCTAAAAACCTGATATTTTTCTTTTGTTCCCCTTTTTCATTTTCTACGTAATACCTTTAATTATCTTTCAAAAGGGAATGATAAATCGAAATTCCATTTTCGCATTATATTTTTTACTTAAGCTTTATACATTACGCATTTATATGTATGTATATGTAACTAGCCAATATGCGGTTTCACCCAACATTTCGTGCAGCCTTTGCAAAATACTGTTCCCAAAATTGCAAAACCGTTCGCATTTTAGCATTTTACTCGTGATAAGTACGACGCGTGTTCAATATATTATTCAAATCGTCAATGGTCATGAAATATTTAAATAACAAATATTGATTTCTTATAAATACGATGTCAGGATTTTGAAGGGACGAATATAAAAAGTAATACTTCAATCGTGACAAATTAAAAGGATAATTTTTTTTATACTCGTCCATGATATTTTTATATAAATGTATACTTTTGAGAAAAAATAAAATACAATCTTAAAAGGTTAGTACCTGTAAGTAAAGATATCGAATTGACTGGTGACCAGTGTGGAAAGAAAATTTTAGCTGGTATGTGAAATACACCGTAGAGACGATTCTGAGTCGTTTACTCGGCGATACGGAAAAGTTGAATAGCATCTGGCGAGAAAGCAAAGATATTTTTCTGAAATTGGTTCTCCGTTTTCATTGATTGCCCAAAGTCACTTATGGATTTAACATTTTTTGGCACAACTCAGAGAAAACGGAATTCACAAATTTTCTTCGCGAACAGTGCAACAATTCGATTTAAGAAAACTCACTCGTGAAACATAGGAAATGTGAAATAGAACTAATCGACCGGAATTATTGTTTCATTCTCGAACACGACGCATTTTGAAAAATGATACTAGTTGTTCAAGACTCTAACGCTCAAAACATGCTTTGCGATTACTGATGTTCGTTCTCGACAGTTAGTTAAAAAACATTCTAGTCCGATAGAAAAAAAAAAGAAAAAATAATATTAATCAAATTTTGTACTTTTATCGTGACCATTAATCTAACGTCAGAGTATTTTAATTTGTACGCGACGTAAAAAGAAATAAATGATTAAATAAACGATTCTTAATTTTAGTTTTAATTCAACTACACGGAAATTTTGTATTTCATTCAAATTATACTGTGTCCAATCTTGTTTATTCATATTTTATATACTTCCAAGTTCATCTAATTTCCAACTATAGAGAAGTGTGTGCATGTATGTGTGTACGTGTATGTGAAAAAAAACCCATGAACATTTAAAGACAGGGGGAGCGATGGAGCGTGCGAAACTCGTGATTGCTCATCCCAGCCGTTCTCGTGAAGATATTTTATAGCACGCTTGGGTAGTAATGAAGCTGTTTACATGCGTTTAAGAAAGCATCTCATCGAGAGCCAGATAATTAGAATACCCTTGCTTACGTACGCGATAGGCATTATTAGAGGTACCTAAATGCAACTCTCTGCTTGCCCGTTCGAACAATGTATCGTATTCTTTACTTTCATTATTATCGCTTAAAATGCACATATACTGAGTTAATTAACTCTATTAACATATAAAGAAAGTTTATTTAAAACATAATTTTAACGTTGTAGAAAAAAATAAAATATTCGTTAACTTTCTTCCCGTTGTGATATATATTAGGAAAAAAATAGAGATGAAAAAAAAATATAACTCCAAAATAATACCTATTCTATTCGACCGCGGATATAATTTTGATATCATTAATTTTACGCTTCAATGAAATAATATAAAAAATTTTTGAATAATGTTATCGCTATACGCCAAAAAATAATATGACAAAAATATCACGCACCGTCGAACTCATTAACGTGTTTACATGTTTCAAAATTAAATCATTATTTTATTTTTATTTTTGTTTTAAATACATGATGCAAAAAATAAAAAAAAAATACAAAAGAAATGTATTTTGATTAACACGATATGTAATCTCTAGTTCTCATAAATCTGATAAATCTGTGAATTCATGTAAAATGTAGAGAAATAGGTAGACGATTGAATCGCATAAGCTCACGCAGCGATACAAGCTCAAAATGTATAGAATTGGATACATCTGTTTGGAACACGTCGTGGAAATGGTCGGTGATTGCATTGAACTGTTAAACGATATGTTCCTCTGATAAACGTTTTTTAGTTCAGTTAATGTGTCGTTAACCGAAAGACTACAAATCGAGCATTGCTGAAGTAACTGACGTGCGATTAATTAAAGTAAATATTCCGTGCGAGTTTTCGAAATTGAGATTTATTTTATATCAGACTAATATTTAAAGCTCGATCACGAACACGACAACGATCGATCGTAATTAAAATAGTTATTTTATTATGCACAAACAACAAACATCTTTATTTATGAGTAAAGATGCACTATAATCGGTTCTTTGATTATTAATCAATAAATAAACAAAATTGTTCCCATATAAATTATAATAATTTAATATTTTATTAATAACATACACTAAATTAATATTAATATTAATAACAATATCCCCTTCTGAGGTATAATCAATATATTTTCTTTCCTCTCATAGATGGTCATTTTCTTTCAATCCTTCTGTTTTTAAAGTATATCAAGATTTTTTAAAATCTGGGTACACCCCACGGACCCGGAGGTAGACGCGGATTAAACGGTCCAGTTCCTGGGAAAGTAGGAAAAGTAGGAAGATTAGGGTGTCCCGGTCTCGGATTGATCGGTGGTGGTCTGTACGACATGACAGACATTATTGTCATTAAAACGGCTACAATCAAAAGAACCAACTTCATCTTGATTTATCAATTTGTGTTCTATCCACGAGGAGAAGTGTTCCCAATGATCAAACTGCAAAATATAATATAATGTCATTATCGTAAAATATCCTAACGAAACAATGTTAATCCTTAATTCTTTATTGTCCTCTGCCAATTACAGTTTACAAACGAATTTTAATTAGATACATAACATCATTATAACGAACTAATCGTATTAATTAAATGTTCACAATACTGTTAGTATCTCGGTATATTATACTCCTTTTACGCATATTAACGTTATCGAAGCACGATAATTTAAATTGTATATGACTAAATTTCATTTAACACGCAAATTATTGCTCGCATACCGTGTTAATTCACCTTACCCCATCACCCCTCCCATAACACACAAAAACCTTTTATATACTCGATACTACTATTCTACCCTATTATTAAACGAAATCGCAAACGATGAAAGATCTAAAGAGATTGTTTTCTTTTACGCTTTATATAAATATAATAGAATAACAAAAAAAAAAAAGGTTACTTCGTGATAAAGGTAATAATTAATTGCCCTTACCTTGGCACTCCGTTGAGAGTCAGAGAATTATGTTTCCGGATACGACAAGTCTCGCTTATATATACAACACTAGCTTGCCAGTGTGCGGCGATCCGAAGAATGCAAGGCAGAAAAAGAAAGAGAGAGGGAAAGACATATATATATATATATATATATATATACAAAACAAAGATAAAAGAAGAAAAAGGGAGAAATAAAAGAGAGCAGTAGAGAACGAAAGAAGGAAAAGAGAGAAAAAGATAAATAAAAGAGAGAAAAGAGAGATATATGGTATATATATATATATATATATGTTTATATTACATAGAAGCATTGTATGCGTAAGATCGAATCAACGAGGCGCGGGAAGAACCGCATCTTATCAACCTAGCTGCCCTGGCTGTTGACACTTCACGCATAAATTACAAAGATTTGTATATGTTACGAAAAAGCTTGTACGATGATACACACAAACGCGTTAAAAAAATAAGTGTTCAGCAAACACTCGTGTATTCGACTTCATCGCGTTAATGTAAATGTGTATGTGTGTATATATGTGTTTATGCATTTTATGCACGGGGAAGAACATAGCATAGACCCGATGATTGTATGAAACTTTGAAACGATGGATTTCCCCTCCGATAAAATGTCTTTTTTTATTATCAGAATAAATGATTACTCTATAACCCTGGTGGGAAAAACATTAAAGAAGACAAAAGAAAAAGAGACAGTAGACTGCAGGTACACTGCATCATCGAGCAAAATCAAAGTATACTCGGTACCACAAAATTAATTGCCAAATATTGTTGACTTGTATTCTGTTCTGTTCTGTTCTGTTCTGTTCTGTTCTGTTCTGTTCTGTTCTGTTCTCGTGTTTTTTAAAAATCGTCCTATCAAATATTATAATAAAACGTTTATGAAAATATTGTTATTATCTTGAAAAATAATTCGTCATTTGAAACATGTAAAATTTGCATGGCAGTAACATGATAACTATGAACGTCAAGAAAATTGATTAATTGAAAAATATTGTATCGAATGTTAAGTTGAAAAGCACAATCTAAAATAAATATTTCGGGACAATGGTAAACGAAATTATCGATTATTTTGTATCGATCTCATACATGAAAAATATAACGAAAATAGTAACGCATTCATAAATTTCTCTTATACCTTTAAAGTTAAAAGAAAGACATGATGAAATATTAC